CCATGGTTTTCAGAATTTTTTATTTCATATTGCCATTATTATATGTGATGATAACATAATCATTATGGTAATGACATTGATATAAATAGTATTGAAAAGAAAAATTCCCAAGAACTCAAGGAAAGGAGAAATCAGGTGAGATCACATAGACTACCGACTCACTCCTTGGTGGCTAGGCATCTGTGGAGCCATCTGTGTGTAAAGACATTTCACAAAACAAAGCTGTTGTGGGCATTACAAGTTTCCAGCATCATTGAATATAGTTTTCAGAGATCCATTTTTCATCTGTGAATGTGAGCCCTTCTCTGATTTCTCCGAAGGTATACTAGATCTGCTATATGACTGATGTTTTTGAACTCCCATTTGCATCATTATCAGTAAGAGACACTGAAGAATGAGAAGGAAGGAAAAACTAACCCATTGGCTCTGAGGACATGTACTTTGAATTATTATGCATTGCTGGCTCCACAAGTACTCAGTCAGCAAGGAGTCAGTTAGTAGGCCTTACATGACTTCACCTGATTGTTTCAGTCTCTCTCTCTCTCTCTCTCTCTCTCTCTCTCTCTCTCTCTCTCTCTCTCTCTCTCTCTCTCTCTCTCTCTCTCTCTCTCTCTCTCTGTCTGTCTCTGTCCCCACCTCTCTCTCTCTCTCTTTGTCTCTCTCCCCACCTCTCTCTCTCTCTCTTCTTGTCTCTCTCCTTGTCTCTCTCCCACTCTCTCTCTCTCCCTCGCTCTTTCTTTCCCTCTCTCTCCCTCACTCTCTAGAGTAAACAGGTGAGATAAAACTGACTCCTTGATGATTTAGCTTTCTTGGAGCCATCTATTTATAAACAAAATTATTACTTTTTCTTTCTTTCTTTGGCACACTTTTCACCATTTGAAAGTTAAAGATTTTAGGAAATTAATATGGGAAGGCGGCAAATAAATGAAGGTTCTTGGTAAGAAGGATTGTGTTCTTTTTGGAGGTCAATGAGGACCTCTTGACAGGTTAGTGTGATGATGAGAAATAGGCAGACATTCATGTACTATTTATTGGAAATAACTATCCCTAGTAAAGATCTCCCCATCCATACTTCAGGGTCCATATGGTGAAAGTGGTAGACCAATGTTCACTTCCAACCCCAGCATGATCACACCAGACTTGAATGATGGAGGCTGGCTCTTCTACTCAAGCATGCATGCAGTGATGGAGGCTATCAAGGCAACCTCTCCAGACGGCGGAACCAAGACAAGGAAGTCGCCCGAATATACATGTAAGAGAGAACATTACATATTGTTTTGCTGTTTTTTCTGTGTGGGTCTTTGATTTACATCTTACTAATGATATTTATATTTAGACTTGTTATGGAAATGTGCTTCTAATACTTTTTTTAACCTTTGATGTGTGCTTGGTTGCATATGATTACATTTATTACTTTGTAAACATATCTACCTGTGTCTATCATTGCATATCTCTGTCTGTGATTATCATTGTATTTTACAAGCATAGAAGCATCTATGTGTTAAATGTAGAGAGACAAGAACAGAGGAGTAAGTGTTAATGAAATGTATATTGTCTACTATGCTGTGAAACTTGGAGAGGATGATTTTTAATGAATGAGCTGTCAGCATTTTCACTTTCTGCTGCATGACAGAATTTACAAGGCATATATTATGAAATGTACTATTTTTCAATTGATGGGAATTCTGGGAATGATATAAAAGGCTTGTGTTGCTTGTGTATGAGGCAGTTGCCCACAAGTGGTAACTTTGAATGTGTCATCTTAGAGTCTCTTATCTAATACAGTTTCTTCCTTTCACACACACACACACACACACACACACACACACACACACACACACACACACACACACTTGAAAGAAAAGATTTGATGAGGCCTCAAGTTCATTTCATGGTAAACTAAGGTAAACTCTCTCTCTCACTCATCCCTGGTGGAGGGATAAGGGGTGAAGTAAAGGATAGGGGGATATGGAGGACAAGGGTAGGACCACAGAGAGGGAAACTGCAACGGAGACTCTGCCAGTGATAGTTTCTTGGATAGAGGGTGGGCCATAGTCTAGCTGATTCACGTGATTGGGGGGAAGATAGATGGTGGATATAGCTGTAAAATTTCTAAGGCAATTTACGAAGTATAAAAGATAAAGCCAGAACAGATTACAGGGGTCACTCAACAGCAACTAAAATAAAATGGAATTATGACACCAACATTGGCATTACAGTATATTCCACTGGCGCTTCATGAGAACCTATCACTGGCAGAGTCTCCGTTGCAGTTTCCCTCTCTGTGGTCCTACCTTTGTCCTCCATATCCCCCTATCCTTTACTTCACCCCTTATCCCTCCACCAGGGATGAGTGAGAGAGAGTTTACCTTAGTTTACCATGAAATGAATTTGAGGCCTCATCAAATCTTTTCTTTCAACTTTGTGTGTGTGTGTGTCTGTCTGTGTCTGTGTGTGTGTGAGTGAGTGAGTGAGTGAGTGAGTGAGTGAGTGAGAGAGTGAGAGAGGGAGAAACTGTATTATATAAGAGACTCTCAGGACGACATATTCAAAGTTACTGCTTGTGGGCGAGTGCCCCGTACACAAGCAACACAGGTCTTTTAAATCATCCAGAGCAAAGGAGTTAAGTATTTTGTAATCATTAAACTTGGTTGAGGTAAATGAAAGCTGAAGGTGTAAAAAGTATGTACCTAGGTAAATTTGATTTCTATGTTAAATTTACTGATTTGCTTAACAATTTTTTGTTTTGTTGCAGGGTCAGTGGATGTGACACGCAAGTTCATCAAGATCAGAGGAGAGAAACATGCTGAGATCTCTCAGAAGGGTCATAATGCTGTATACCAGTAAGTTAATCATAAATATTTGTTAGTCTATATGTATTGCATATATATAATACCCCACAAAATGTATTTATGTATATGAATAACATTAGTTTGTGTAGATCCTGACCTTACTTTGGTTGTACTTTTGTAGAGAGATCCTGGAGAAGTTGGGAATCAGTGACAAAGTGAGTGTGATGATGGCAAGAAAGAAGTGGAACTATTTAGTCAAGAGATATCAGGTAAGGAAGTGTATGTGTGAGGGCAATTCATAGTCATTATTACATAAAACCAGGCTAATTATATTTTGAGGGGCTTCTCATTCACTCATTCCTAAGCTGCATACTACAGATGTGTGATAATCTTGCCCACTGTCAACAAAACAAAAGGGAGAACAAGGAGGGACATGAATATGCTGGAGCCCTTACACTGCACTGCTTCGCTGGAGACCTAGCAAAGCAAAAAGGCCTGCAGTGTAATCATGTATTTCCCTGCTCTTATCTTCATTTATTTGTTTGCTGTTCATTCAATATGAAGTTTCCACTCAATCTTGCTTAAACTTCCAGGATGAGGAGATGGCAGGTGGGGAGCGAACTTGGGCTTTCATGAAGGAGATGGGCCAAGTCATGAAGCACTTTAGAGGAGCCAACGTCAACAAGCTGAAGTCAAGAGCATCACCCGAGTTCTTGTGTAAGTCCCTGATTTGTTGTTCATTTTCACAGTTTTAATCCTTTGCATCTGGAGCTAGGAACAGCAGAACTGCACCTCTCTTGTCTTTCATGTTTTGCGGAGATTTTATAACTTCTGAAAATGCATTTTGCAATATGTTTGCTCTGAATTAGTGTATGAAAAGTTTTCCAGGGTGATATGTAGAAATAAAACAGAATATAGAAAACTTGCATTAAGAGGGTCTAGATTTAAAGTTTTTGAATTAATTAACAAGCAGATTGTAACCTCAGTGAATTTTTTCATTTTTATGTTTGATTATTTTATAGAAAGATGAAATTATGTAAAGGGATAGTTTAGAAAAGGAAGAAATGTATCATATATATAATTATGTATATGTAATTCAGATATACATGTGCACACACACATTATTATGTTTAGTGGGATTTACTTTTCTTCAGGGCCAAATGAACTGACTCGGAGATTTATTGAGCTTCGTGTTTCTCGCCATTCCGATTTCCTTGAAACGGGGATACAAAACACTTATACGTAAGTTGTCTCCATGTTTTGCTATTTATATTTGTATTATTATTATTATGACACTGCATTTTTTCTTGTTTTCTTTTCTTGTTTTTAGGTTGAAAGTTCTATTCACTCTTTTATTTCTGTCTCTGTCAGATCTCTAATTTCTTTATTTTTACTTTAAAAAATGATCAACTGGGACATTTTCAAATAAACAAGTTATAATAATTAACTAATTGTAATACACATGTATTTATCCACAGATAATGAGTATGTAATTTGAAGTATTTTATGTGGTAGTGTATTGACATTCCTTTGAAACCATTCAGAGAGATCATGGAAGAGCTTGGTCTGGAACACATCCTGAACCCTAACCAGTTGAGGAAGAAGTGGAACTATTTGGTTGCAAAGTACAAAGTAAGAAAATTTCATGCTTGTTTACTTTGCATTTGTTTTTGTTTTTTTTATAAACATTCACTAATAATGAATACATCATCATATTAACTTAGGTCTGTCTTGTTTCTGAACTATGTTTACATATATATGATGAACTTATTCTCTGTCCTTAACCTTTTATTGTGATTTTTAGGAGCTGTCATGCACAACTGGACCAGACGGCACTAGCCCTGCTCCTCATTCCTGGCCTTTCTATGATGACATGCACCAAGCCCTGCAACAGATTCCTGAGAGTGCCTTACATAGCAATCGAACTGTCAGAACAAACTTCGAAAATATTTGTAAGTTATTGATGCTTTTCTGGCTGTGATGGTATGTAGATTAGTATGATACACTCAATTATTCCTGAATAAAAATGTATCCATAGATAAAAATCAATTTTTTTTCTTCTTTTTAGTGTAAAGGTTAAGATTATTATCTTTTTTTTCAGGCATTGTTCAAACTTTATGGGTTGAAATGATTATTTATATTTATTTATATTTATTTATATGCAGATTGAAGTACTAATCTTGTCTTGTAAAATATTTGGCCAACTTC